CACTCTTTGATAAGGAAATCAAGTGGACCGTCTTAAGAAATTTTAACAACAAATAACTTATATACAATTATATTGTTTATATTTTTTAGTTATACATGTTTTAGAGGATACCTCGCTTAACATCCTGACTAAGTTTCAATTGTTAATTCCACCTGGTTTTCTTAAAAAACAAGGTGCGGCTGACTACTAAAGCCCACCCAAACTGTCAAAAAATACAAATTCGCTCAGAGCGAGAGATTAACATTGAAAAGTATGGGATCGCTTTCTAGTAAAAAATGCTAACTTCTGTCAACTTCAACATAACCTCCAAATTTTGGTTGTAAATTTTTGCTTATTTTGTATGTAAACACATTCAGCTCACATATGTAAATAACCAAACACACTTTAAAATCCATTAGAATCCACTTATACAAGTAATTAAATACTTTTTAACATGAATTAGCAGAGTGCACTTTTCTTTTGTTTACAATTTGGTTGCCAAACACACTACAGCTGAACGTTTGACACATTTACCAGAATTTACCAGCAAAAAAATTCTCGGACTAAAACTGGTAACTTCTCACAGAGAGAGCACCGTATTTACCTCTTTTTTGTCCTCTCAATAGTCAGAGAACCGAGTACGGGATCGATTTCCAGTAAAATCTGACTGATTCTGCCTAGAATTCTACTTAGTGAGGGTTATAATCCCTAAGTGCGGCCGAAGGCCGCCTACGCAGAAAGGTGTTCTCTGCAAAAGGTGTTCTGTCCCTCTTCTTCGGCAATACACAAAGGAGAATTCTACTTAGTGAGGGTTATGATCCCTAAGTGCGGCCGAAGGCCGCGTACGCAGAAAGGTGTTCTCTGCAAAAAGTGTTCTGTCACTCTTCTTCGGTAACACAGAAATAATTCTACTTTGTGAGCGTTATAATCCCTAAGTGCGCCCGAAGGCCGCCTACGCAGAAAGGAGTTATATGCAAAAATACTGTGAATGGCGTTAGAGGTTTCAGCCCCCCTTTCTTTCGCAACACAGAAAGGATAATTCTACTTAGTAAGGGTTATAAAACGCGGCCGAAGGCCACCTACTCAGAAACTTCTTCGCAAAAATACTGTGGATAATTGCTCGTTGGGTTAACCACCCGCCTCTTCTTCATTCGGTCTTTTGACAGTTCAACGTAAATAATTTTAGTTGCCTTCCCCAACTTTTCTGGGTTAAAACCTGTAAAACTGTCAAAAAGCAAAAGAAGCCAGAGAATCGAGTACGGGAACGCTTTCTGGTAAATTCCTGTAAATTCTTGCAACTTCCTGCGAGTTAGGGAACGCAACTTTTGTTAGATTTTGGCCCGTAGTTAAAGTCAAAATAAAGTCGACTCTAAACTTAAAAGCAGCTTTTTGACATAACTTTCAATGGGATATCTGTCAAAAAACCTGCTTTTAACTTTATACTATGTCTCCATTGAGAGATTTCTCCATTAAGATTTAATAAATCCAGTTGCTAAATCATAACCGTCTCCATTACCACAACGAGATATGCTTGACGTTCACATTTTTAAATATTTGACGTTTGCTTATGTATGATTTTATAAATACAGTTGCGGACATTGATATGCAGACAGACAAAAGGAAGGTACCAAGCGGAATTTCATTATATGAATTCTGAATATTATTGGCTTCTTATTCGTGGTAAATATGTATGTATAATATATAGTTTGGAAAGTGTAAAGAATGGTACCATATTCCGTATCATTTTCCCGAATTTAAGAAAAATTATCAAAACGGTAAAAAACATTTGCGGAAAGAAACATTATTGTAGAACTCTCTTATTCATAGGAGGGAACCGAAAATCCAATCGTGGGCCTTTGGCATATCATGAATACGAACTGAGTTCTAGAGGATGTTCAGTGCAATGTTATCGAAGCAGAACCATTACCGAAATTTATAAATTTTTTGTCGCAGCGCGTAAATGACTTATAGAAAGCGGAGAAGACTGCATGATATTACTATAAAACATTTCTTCTAAATTTTTAGTTTTTAAAATAATATTTTCTTAATTTATTACAGCCAAAGTTATGTAAATATGTATGTATTACTAATTTTCCTCCCAAACTAACAAAAATATAAAAATCCCTAAAAATACGAAAATTCATGTTTTTATGATAGGCTAGATTTCAATGTCCTCAACTGTATATTGAAAACACAAATGTCATTTGACTTATGGCATGTGAATTTGTGGTTGCCACATCCAACAAATCGTACTTATTGATCAATATTATTGAAGATTTGACGAAGATTTAACTTAAATCTACTGCCTTTCGAGATTTAATTTTATATGGTAAATCTCAAAACATTTAGGCTGCGTTTCTTTATACATTCCGGATAATCCCATTTCACAGCCGGAATAAACAGAATGCGTTTGAAATATACGTCACCATATCATCAGGAACGTTTTAAAGAATAAATAAACAAAAAAGTGTATTCCAAACGTTCAGAATGAATAAAGAAATGCAGCCTTAACGTCAAATCTCGTCAGAGGGCTAAATCTTCATTAAATCTCACAATGGAGACATAGTATTAGAGTCGACTGCAATTAAATGTGAACAAGACAAAGTTTATGGTCATATCTAGAGCAGCTAACGTTAGCTCCGATAATTACAGTTTAAAAATTAAAGATGAAGTAATTGAGAAAGTAAGAATCATTAAATATCTAGGTATATATGTATATCGATGATAAGTTAAAATTTGAGGAACATATTGACTACACAGTAGCAAAAATTGGTAAAAAAATTGGTCTCATGAAAAGATCATGTAAGTACTTAGGAAGGAGGTTGTTGTTGTTGTAGCAGCATACAAATTCCCCAAAGACTTTTTGGGGAGTGTTGCTGGAGTGACAGTCCTTGGCCAGATATAAATCTGGGTCGTTCCGGTTACGTAGACCCGACTGTCGTGGGAACGTAGGAAGGAGGTATAAGACTTTGGTCTACAGATCTATAGTTGAACCACATTTCATATACTGTCCAACTATCTTTTTTATAGCAAGCGACACACAAATAGATAAGCTTCAAAAAATGCAAAATAGGGCTATGCGATTTATCTTGAACAAGCGGTACGACAGGCCCATACAGGAAATGGTCGCAGAATTAAACAGGCTGAGCAAAATTTTTATCACGCTATGAAATTCGTGTTTAACATAAAACAAGGTAGATTCCCAGATTATCTGAGTGATATCCTACTATATAATAGTGAAACCCATTCGTATTTACTCAGGGGAAATAATAGTTTCAGGCTGCCGCTGTATAAAATGGAAATAGATAAGAAGAATATCTTTTATAAGGGATTAAAATGTTATAATGAACTTCCAGCTCAAATACAAAATTGCGAAAACGTTGGTACCTTCAAAAGGCTGCTACTTGATCACTGTAGAACATTGGATATCAGATAGAAAGGTCCGGCATGGAAACTAGTCCTTTCCATCCGTACTGGCTGGATGACTCTGGATTTAGTCCATTCAGATCACCCATAATGTATGAAATAAGAAGGTCGGCATGGAAACTAGTCCTTTCCGTCCGATCAAATGGCGCGACTCCGGATTTCGTCCATTCAGATCGCCTGCCGGTAGAGAAGTTTATAAGAAGCGGCTTGGAAACTAGTCCTTTCCAACCGCTCAGTTGTGGCGGCTCTGGAAATTACACTCTTAGACCGCATATCGTACGTGATATATTTACAGTACTGCTTGGAATCCCGTCCATTCCAACAGCATCGAGAATATGCTATCTTAGTTAAATATACATACTATTATATAGCTTGGAAGGAAACAGTTAACAGGTTAACGTATTTTAAGCAGTAAATTTAACTTTACTTTTATTGTATATTGCAATACATAATTCAAATGTATATACGTGAATGTATATAGGTCAAATGACTTTAATAAATAAATACATAAAAATGAAATATTTTGACTATAACTACGGGCCATTGTTTTTATTATCGCTAATATAAACTTTAATATCTAAATTATAAATTTTTGTACAAATCCAAGTGTTTGCTGCGTTTTGATACAAGTCAGTGCTTTCATTTGCTTAAAACAAGCGAAACGCAAAATTGTGATTTTTGGTCATTTTTCTAATAGCTCCCTAGGGACCTACATATTGGAGTTTCCCCGCGAAAAAATTTGGGTACTGTTTATGAATTTGTACAACGATTTTGGCTTGCTGTGCCCAAACGCGTGAATCGAATCAAAAAACTTTTACACACACTTGTAGACAACAGTTCACGCTTTATTACAAAAATTTAATTTACTAAATCTGTGGACTAATTTAACAATAATGTTGGTTGGAAATATAGTATTTGTTGCAAATTTTTGTTATAAATTTGTATAAACATTTTTATATACAGGATATTTTTATAAAACACCCAGTAACCAAAATAGACATCACTGGGGCGGCAGCCCCAGGTTTACCACACAGAAAGGGAATTCTAGTTACCTCATCCTTTCCCAAGGTTACAGAAAGGAGAATTCTACGTAGTAAGGGTTATAATCCCTAAGCGCGGCCGAAGGCCCCTACGCAGAAAGGTGTTCTCTGCAAAAGGTGTTCAGCCCCCCTTCTTCGGACGCAAGTTTAACTTTGTTTTTTCCTTGCAAAAAATCTAAAATACCCCTATTTTCAAACAGCTCTCAAGGCGTATTTTGGGGGGGAGGGGGATGAGGGTTACTTTTCATAAAGCGGCGTTCATCCTCCTTCGTTTAGAGGGGATTTGGGGAGCCACGCCCCCTCCCCCTCCGCCCCCACCACTAAATCGTTGTACAAATAGCTAAACGTTTCCCAAAAATTTAAGTATCACGCGAAATGAGCGAAAAAATAAAGTATCTTCCCAAAATTTGCACAAAGACGTGTTACTTTTGAAGTATATAGTCAAAACGGCAACACTGTTAATAACTTGTATTCAGTTTTGCGATAAAATATAAACAAAACTAAATATTTATCCAGACGCTCGCGAACTTTTCTTTTCTTTTTTTGACACCGCACTTTTTTCTTTTCTTGTTATTGAACTGCAGCTGACACGAAAGATGTAAACAAATGGACTTTTCCACGGCTGCGCCTAAGTAGACAATTTTTTACACTTTTACGGCTGTTTTCTGGTACCTCCACACTCTCCCGCAATTTATTTACAGCTATTGCATTAAGAAAAATGCTTTTTTATTGCTAAACTATTGCAATTTTTGTTAGCATTGTCGAAATGCTATGGTACACCAACAAATCAATTATCGTAAAACACTTCCGCACACACAACCCGCATGAAAATTCGCTGTCAACTAAAATTGCTATTTTTGACAGTTCCCAGGTAGCACGTCAGCTGTCAAAGTGGAACTCTTCTAAACAACAGCGCCATCCGACGGTGACAGTGCGAAACTAAGTTCATTGAAAGAGGGAAATGTTGTGGAAGCCAGTGGATGGTAAATTTTTATAGTATAACAGTTAATGTGGACCACAGAGAAGGAGAACTGTAAAAACACGTTTAAAAAGAGGAGCGCCAGAACTGCATAAACATTCTCTGCTATGTATGTAGGGCAGTGATGGAAAAGTGGACACAATAGTGCCATTTTTGGCACTTTCATTCTCAGAAGCACTTTTGGCACAATTCATCCTGTTTTGGCACAATCATAAATTATATTGCCAATATATAACAAAAAATCACATACTACATTGTAGGTTAAAATATTACAAAAGTGATAATTACACTAAAATAAATAATATAAAAAAACTTTTTAATATACAACGCTTTTATAAATGGACTAAAAAGTAAAAAATAATATTTCTCAGTCCCATAGAATTTGTTTTGATAACTTTTGATTTTGAAATTTTAGCAAAAGTCATTATAAATAATCTATGAAATTGAAACTGAAGAACGTGGAGCGCATGCATACAAAGCATTCGATTTAATTGACAATAGTCAAACTACATAACGTAGACCTAAAATTTCTACAGCGAAAGTAGAACTTTGAAATCGATTTTAAGCGGTCGTTATTCATATACCCACATACATACATACATACATATATTACTTTTCATATCAATTCCAGTGTATTACATGCGCCCCACGCTTTTCATTTTCAATTTCATAGATTGTTTATAATGACTTTTGCTAAAATTTCAAAATCAAAAGTTATCAAAAC